CAAAATTTTTAATAAAATTATATATATCACAAAATTTAATATTTTCAAAAATTAGTTTATCTATTTTTATATGATTCTCTTTCAAATCATTTAGTCACTGTGACCCACTCACACTTTGAATACAATGTATAGCAATATGTCCCATTTCTTCACATTTGAAACACATTCTATCATGATCTGTATTAGATATCTCCATTTTATCTACATTTTTTATAATAGGATTTTGTATATTTCTAACCACCGGTTGTAACACTACCGAGGTTCTTTGTGGAAATCCACTTTTAAAATTGGCTTCTATTACCGTGCAATTTCTTTTTATATGTCCTACAAAACCACATCTATGACACACTATGTCATTTTTTTCACTTGGTTTTGCAGTCACATTTTCATTAGTTTTTCGGTCTCTTCAATAACAATTTTTACCAATATGTCCCTTTCTTCCACAAAGTTCACAACTTTCAATCACATTATTATTTTTAATTTTTAAGTTGGACACATCTCTGGACAAAACTTTCATGTTTTCTCTCATTTCTCTAATTTCACATAAAATTAGAGATTCTTCCGTACTTTGTCTCAAAGTACTATTTTTATTATAATTTTTTACAATTTCTACAGGTTTCTCAATTAAAACCTCTGAAATTTTTTTTTTAAATTCAATCACTATTGAATTTAATTTTTTATTGATATCCTCTGATATATTATTATTCTGAGGAAAATTAAATACTTCACCAGTATCTAATATTTCCTCGGATTTTTCCTCCGACATAATATTCTTTTTATACATTTAATTTTTTTAATTCTAACAAAATTAAATGTAAGCTATTTTGGATATCCTCAGAAATATCTGGAGATTTCACCAAAATTTCAGAAATTAAATTTTCAGTATTAGTATTTCTTATATCATTTTCTTTATTTTTAATAGATCTTCTTTTTATTTTCTTAATTGCATGTTTCATTATAATCAAAGTTACATAAAACACAAAAAAAATTACTGCAGTAATGATATTATTAGTTACATCCACTTTATTAAACTTTGAATTAAATATTTTATTAAAATGATCCTTATAATTCTGCATTTTATCAAAATCAGGCTTACGATGAACAGTAACAAAAGAAAAAGCCATAATTTCATTAATTATCCAAAATTTAAAATTTTATCTTATATATTTCTAATTTTAATCCAAAAATCCTACTATTGCGTTGTGTAATTTATAATATAAAAATAAATTTCTTACATATCCGGAATCCACTAATGTTTTTAGGAACCCGGTCCTCGAAAATCTTTTTCTTGATTAATAAATTCTGAAATTTTCTTAACAAAATCACCCTAATAAGAGTTAACGAATCCTGGTACCACTGCACCAATAAAATAACACTCAATAATTTATAATATTGTTTCTCAATAATCTCACCGATTATTATTATATTTTATAATTTCTCAATAATCTCACCGATTATTATTATAACATAATATTAATGGTTAGAATTTTGAACATATTACTACTATTTAACATTTCTTTATTTTATAACTTTTTTTAAAATTAATTCCAATATTTTTATAAAACAATCATAAAAAATCATAATAATTCTCAAAAAATGTCTATAAAAATTCTTTTCTTTGTTTTACAATTCATATATTCCTCCGCGTTAATTCTTTATCAATCAATATAAACAAAAATCAATATTTTTTATGTTTCTAAATATATATTAATAATTGATTGACATTTATCATTTAATAATAATAATATTGATAAATATATATATATATAATATACCAACATATATGAAATATCTAATATAAATATATATGAAATATATATCACATATCATATATAATATCCATCATACCGGAAGAATCACATATTTTGCAACTTATGTAATAATTTTTAATTTGAATAAGTTATGATGAATGAATGTCAACGAAAGAATATGATATGGTGAATTCTCAAAATGAACTAAATAATGTTATATATTATTAATAAAAACGTATCGGATATTATAACATTAGTATTATTATGAAAATTGTTTAATATATATAATTAATTTTATACATTTCATTATATGAATTTTTAAAAAATAATTAATTATTTTTATTATACCTTTAAAAAAATACTACAACATGCAATTTATATTTATAAGCGATTTAAAATAAAAAAAAATTCAGAAATACATGAAATAAACATATGACTTATTAAAATAAAGGTTGATATTTACTAATTGGCGATTATTTTAATGACGCTATTTATAATAGCTGAGCTGTCTATGTTAATACAAGTCCATGATCATTACAGTAAATTTTTTACATTAAATAATAAAAAATTAGCCTCACCCTGGAGGAACTTATGCAGGTTCCCATGATAGGGAGTTTTCAATTCCTATCGGATCGTAATAGTTATGAGAAAGGGAAAATATGTCAAAGCATGTGTAATCCGAATATATGTGTTTGTCTCTATCCCATATGATAGATCCAACAGATCAAGTACTGTTAATGATAGGGATATTTCAGGGTTCGAATGTTGGAATATTAGCTCCATATAGTGGTTTATGCTATAAAATTTATTAATGATTTAATTCCTTATATATATATATAATTTTATTCTTTTAAAACAAATGCCTTCCATTTCATGTTGTCAAACACATAACTCTTTATTACAGATTGGTATGATTTGACTAAGTTATGATTCCTTTTGTAGAAATTTATGAGTTGTTGACATTTAATAACTAGCTTTGTATTATAAATATCAGATTTGATTTCAAATATTATGAATATTATTAAATTAAAAGCCTTTACAAAGAATCGAGATGCTTTTTGTTTTTACTTAAACAATAAATACATGTCTTGAGTCGCGATCACGATTCTAAGCTATAAACCCGTATTATATGTATAAGTTCGATTTTTCATCCCATAATATAAATAATATAGTTGTTAAAGTAGCGCGCTATCTTTTTTGGTAGAGATAACTAACAGCCCGCGATTTATCCAATTATTTATTTTTTTTTAGCGCGATCCATTTTTTGAATTTAAAAATATAATGAATGTAACTATAAACATAAAAATTTAAATATAATTTATAATTACTTATAATTTTTATGATTTATTATTTATATTTTCAATTTGTAATATCAATTTGTATTCTAAACCTAAGTCATCTGGTTTAAATTATTTAAAAAATCTTCGCAAATGAATATCCACTTCGTTGCAAGTGAGTCAAACAATGATGTCATTAATGAAATGGAAGGTATCCTGGAAGAAAATGTAATCTGAACTTGTTCCAGCCCCTAGTAGATTCTATGTTAAAAGCAGGGTTGCCAGATATTCTTCATATAATAATTAATGTCATACCCCCAAATTTGCGGGCCTTCGGCCCGCTTTTGCCCGGCCTTCGGACGGGGTAATTGATGTAGCATACTCATCTAAGTTAATATGTTATATTCAATATAACAAGATAGACAATGAAAATTCTTTATTGATTTACTAATAACAATTATGATATATAATTTTCTCATGTTTATAAATATAGCGTAATATTAATTATTATATTTTATGGATGATTTTAAAAGAAGCAATAAAGATTTCCCATCGGCACTGTGGAGATAGGCTGAAAACTCTTTGCATCAATAGTTATATTTTGTTTAACCATAAGTTCAGCTTCCAATGATGACGTTCTTTTCGCCAAGCAGTAGTCATTAGACTGAATATTCTCTCTGATGAAGCATTTGAATGCGGAATAGAAAATAGAAAATTGTATATTTTCTCTATCAATGGTGAGTTTTTATTAGAATGAAAATCCATCCATTTATCTTGGGAATTCATGTGATTGTTTTTTGATAATTTTTCTTCATAATAGGAATAAAATTGTAAATATTCCTCAAAGATAATTTCTGTATCTATGTTTGGTATTTTATAATTACTAATAATTTTTTGTAATTGTTCAAATTCTGGACATTATTTTAATGTCATAGGGCTAAGATATTTCCATATATTATCTATAATATAATATCATAACGTTTTTCTACATATTCTATAATATTTTTTATAAATATCTTTGATTCATTTTTGATATTTATTACCTTTTCTACATCATTATTATATTGTAAAATATTTTTAGAAATGCTACCATAAAAATTTTGTTAAATTTTTAAATAATGAATTATTTAGTTTTAGGATAAGATCATGTATATTTATTGCTAATACATCTATTGCTAAATTTATGTTATTGACTAAAGTGCCAACGTTAAGGAAAACACCTAAATATGCCTCTGCACAATGATCTCCAAGAATTATTTTCAAAATTGGTGGGGTTGCTGATTATGATAAAAAATATTCTTTAAGGGGTTAAAAATACTTAAGCATCCGCTTAATCGCTGGGATTAATGCAAGCCAGCGTGTTGAAACATGGCGAAGTGATTCTGACCATTCTAAATTGCACCATTCTACCAATTCTTTTAAAATTTAACTCTTTTTGTCGAGTTGCTAAATTCATTATAGCATTTAATTACTATACTCTCAATATCATATTTAAGAAAAATTATGGCCTTTTTAAACGAATTGTGAAGAATGTGGCATATAAAACCCATTGGTATAATATTATTACTATAACTTTTCAATTCTGTCTAAATACTTTAATTTTTCCCAAAGTTTACAGATGCGTTATTTGCTCAATAAGCTGTTACATTAGCAATATCAAGTTCAGCGAATTTTAAATTTTCTAGCAAGCATCTAGATATGTCTTTAGAGGTTTCACTGTGAGACGAAAAAATTAAGTAAATAAACATTTATTCCATTCTTTTTGTTGAAGTATCTAAGTAATAAGGGAAATATTTTTATATTACCTTTATTCTATGCCATTAGTATTGAAAACGGATGATTGTTTTTTAGATCTTTTATAATATTTGCCCTTAATTTATTTCATTATTTGTTTTTAAAAATATTTTAAAAAAATTTAAAAATAAATTTAAAAATATTTTGTGATTATTTTAATCTACTCAAAAAACGTTAGAAAAGCGTGAAGTGTGAGAAAACGTGGGAAAAATTACGTATGAAATCGTGAGAATCACGGCTAAATCGTGACATCTGGCCTTGGTTAAAAGGCATTGAGAGAAGGTATATAAAAATTGATTTACTATATTATGGAAAATTTATTTTCACGGCAAAAAAAAATATGTATTGATACATAATTTAAGCTAGTTTAATTTATTTTGGATTCAATATTATATATGTAGAAATCTAAGATAATATATAATTGTTCTGTGACTGAATAATTTATTCTAACTTAAAGTTAAAAGCTAAAAAATTTACAAAATTTTTTGATTAAGATATATTTTACATACATTACTTTTGTAACTATTAGATTCCACAACCGATACAATGATGATAATGTGCTTTCATTCCAATTTTAAACTAAACTGGCCATGAATTAACTTCGATGATGCTAAAAATCAAGATAGGCTCATAGTAAAGCTGAATAGTTTCATATAAAACAAAGATTCCCTAGTTACAACCACAAAAACGACTTTCTCTGATAATATTTTTGATAAAGGATACTAATATAATAAAAAATCCCCTAGACTAGTTTTTTAATTCTAAAAATACTCATTTTGATAATTTTTTTTATAAAAATATGTATATAAAGTTAAATACTTCCTTGCCCACAAGTGCTAGTGTTCGCTCAAGATTTGGGGATGTTAGTATAGAAATGATTTTATTATTAAAATGCAACAAAATAAATAAAAAATGAATATTACCATAAATAGTTATTTTTATTATATAAATTAGTCTTTTTACATAAATTTTTTTATAATCAAAACTAACTATATTTAAATATATATAATTGTTGATTTTTTATAAGCAAAAAAAAAACAAATTTATTTCTAAATTATTAAAAAGTAGTCAAAGCTACTTTTTAATAATAGTAACTAATAGCGAGCTACTTTTTTTGATGGGTAGCCATAGCTGTAGACTACTTTTAAAAGTATGGTTTAACAACTCTAATAAATAATAATAAAGAAATATATTTTTTTAAAACAAAATAACAAGGAAAAGGAACAAAAAAGAAACAAAAATGTGTTTTTTTTTAAATTTAATCATACATTAGTATCTTCCAGATGTTATTCCAGAATCCTAGATCTTTGTAGAGAAAAATTATGATCCTTAATTACTAAAAAGAAGCCTAAAATCAAATCGAACCAATTAAATTAACTAACAACAAGATGACCAAAAATTTAACAAATGATATAAATCCTGAAAATCTCATTCGAATAGTTAATATTTAAAATTATCGAGATGTATCTAAATATATTGTTATAAAATTCACTGAACTCGTTTTGGACCCAGATTCAAAAATAAATAGGTTTCTTTGAGTTGTACATGGTTTAAGGTTACACAAGGAAAAAATTATATTGCTCAAAAAAATCGTCGAATATTATCTTCAACATTTAAATTTTTAATATTTGTTTACTAATAGAAGGCTTGTAAGCAGGAGGGGTCATAAACTGGGTCCTTAGGAAGCCGCCTCATTCCATTTTAAAGATTAGCTTCAACTGTGAAAAATAGATTAGCACCCTATTTTTCGAAAGTCAGTCTATTTTTTAAAAAATTAGAACCTATTCAGAAAAATGCATTATTACGTTGTTTTTTAGATAGATAAAATGTAGTATTAATTTTGATGATATATGGTATAATCGATTAATAATGATCTTTTTCCTTTCTCTAGTATATTAAAACTAATTTTTTATTATAAAAAAACAGAATTTCCTTTTATTTTAAAAAGATATATTATTTATTATATCAATAAAAAAAGTGATTTTTTTCCCCTCGGATATACACTTGTAGCTATAACTATTTCTTTTTCCATCATGTTCCTGTGAACGTTCTCTTTTAGGTATAACGCATCTACCCCTAAAGGGCTTGCCATCTGGTCGTTGGTAAATAGTAAAAAGCATGACTCTCCTTATTCCTAAATAGCGCCCACAGTATTAAAAGTAAAACCCTAATTTTTCAAAAAAAATATTTTTTTTAGCCTAATAATGAGGCTTACCAATGTTACTAATGTTAAACTAGGCTGAATAATGTTCGATCAAAATTATTTCAAAATTAAATTTAGTTTTAAAATACCACATAGAACCTTTTTTGCCATCCCTTTTATTAAAAGGGCTAACTAAGCGCCTGTATAGCAAGCTCAAACAGGAGGATAGGGAATATTATCTCTTAGCGATTTTAAATTTAGCATAATATTATTTTAATCTAATAACCCCCCCCCCCCCCCAATTTTCCTTACCAAATATTTGCCATTATAAACAATACATATATTTTTTAAATATAACAGTTTTAACTCTTTAAATGGCCCGGAAGTTTAAGAAAATTCCAGATAGACTCTTATGTTTTAGATATAAAAGGCTTATTAATTTAATTTCAAGTAGCGCTTATTTGCAATCAAAAAAATGATGCTAATAAACTTGTATATATTTATCGTATTTTTCAATCGACCCACTTAAGACATTTTAATCTAAAATTTATCGGGTTTTTATGACTATGACACATTTAGGAAAACTTCGATAAGAGGATCAATGACTTAAAAGAATGGGACTAAAAGCCTGGGACACATAGCTTGTTTTGGAAATGGGTGGGGGGGGGGCAAACCTGTTTATACAGGAAAATGGTACACTTATACAAAAGACAAAACTCTTCACGTATTTATGATTGTAGAAAAGGGAATAAATAATGATCCTATACAAATTTCTTCGAATCTCTGATACTTCATCTTTAGACGTGAAATTCTAATATATTTTTTTAATATTTTATTGTTGATATATAATGTGTGAAGGGAGGGGAGGGACTTCATCAAGGAATCTCATTAATTTTTCTTGAAAGCATAAATTAAATAATTCAAAAAAAGAAAATCATATCCTTAATTTAATTAACATAGCCTAATTTGGTATGATTAAATGAGCCGGATTTTGTTATTATATATATATTTTTTTTAAATATCAAAAATTTATCAATAACATATGTTTTTTTGTTAGTTTCTATCTTTTTTATAAAAAACTATTATGCAAATAAATAGAGGTTTTGTAGCTATATTAGAAAAATATGTTGGTTTAATTTTAATTTTAATTTGGAAAGTGTTTTATATAAAAGATTTTAGATTCTTGATATTATGATTTATGACAATTGTTATATAATTTAATTTACACCTTATTGAATAGAATTAATTATTTTTTTTAAAAAAAAAATAAAACTTGAAATCTAAACCCCGCGAAAAAATCTAGAATTATGAAACTTAACATTAATAAAACTAAAGTTTAATGAAAATTCTTTTAAAAATGCCAGATATCGTAGGCTTGTCCTTCATCAGTCAATATTTATACGCTAAACACAATAATAGTACAAGCTTTCATTCATTTCTTATTCCCTAAAACCTTTTATAGTTGTCAAAATTAATTTTTGGAAACATTTTTATGCAGTAACTAACTCCCCCTCTCGCCCGACATTTATATCCTTCTGTTATATATATAAAAAATACAATTATTTACAAATTCGCCAAATAATTCTAAATTTTAGAAAAGATTATTTTAAAAAACAAAATCTTTTTTGAATATTTAAATATATATAAATAAAATTCTTTTCCCAAATTTGGTTCGGAAAAAATCTTATGTCCTTGAATGTATTTTAATTTAAAAATGGGTCTGTATTTTTTTTTCCTCTTTTTAAATTAAAAATAAATTTTTTTCAATGCTAAAAAGAATATTTATATTTTTTTTTTACAAAAATTTATCTGTAAAAGAGTGTAAGTTATATAGAGATGAAATTTAACATTTAAAAAAAAATATTTAAAAATATTTTTGAAAAATATTAAAACAAAGATATTTTTTATTTAAAAACATTTGTTCATATCTGTGTTATTCTTATTTTTTTATATAAAACAAATATTAATAAAATATATTATTTTCATTTTTTCCATTTAAGGAGTTTTGATCCTATTCTATATAAAATTGTATGTTTTTTGTAACTTGAAATGTAAATTTTTTTAAAATGAATAAATGACAATTTGATAAAGAAAAATAGATAATTTCTATAATAATGTCATTTTAGTAAAATATGATTAAAAATAAACATAATTATTACTTACTGCTAGTTTGCATTGGCGCAATGGTTTTTTACTTCTTGAATGTCATCCTTTTTGTATTATAACCCATTTTATAAATCCCAATCTTCGGTTAACACCATAAATATTCAAAAAAGTATATGCTAAGTCTATTGCTTCCGACCGACATTTTTAAACCAAGTCTCCATGATCTCAATGAGATCAAAAATAATCTCCCTAGCAGCTCCGATAATATGTTGATGATGAATTCCATGAGCCGAGTGCCTTCCGGCGTAAATCATTGTTCCCCTATCGCATCCACCAAAAATAAGAGAAAAAATTTTACGCCCCGCAGTTTTGGTCGCTCGGAGGAATCGAATTCGATTCCTAATCCCACGTTCAGGAGTGATGAAGCTGATAATCACGAAAAATGCGACGATTTCCTTGATTATTCATCTCCTGTAACCAGCATGGTAGCGTCCACGAGCCATTATGATATACCAAATTCTCAACACGTCCCCAAAAGTTGCGAGCAGCCCTTAGATCTCAGTTATAAAAAGAATAAGAAAATAGGTGATTTTAGTGATAAACTCAGTTCTAGAGACAAAATAATTTTCTCTCCCCAAAACGACGAAATTCCTTATTCCGAGCAAATTTATTTTCCCAGCAATAATGATAATGATTCTAAAGTCTCATTCAACGATCATATAAATTCCTCCTCTCATTGGCCACCTCTTACAAAACGCCGATTAACGAGGGAAGAAAGGGGCATCGACGCAAAACCCTTATCGAATAATCTGCTAGATAAAAGATATACCTGGCATCAAAGACTTTCAAATTATTATTCCTACGGACGCGAACCAACCCATAATAATTCTAAGAGAACTATCCCTCCCATATCCCACAAATACTATCCCGAGGTGTATCCGAAGAAAAATGATAATAAAATCATTAATAGTCATAAACTAGTCCTTGAGTCGTTCCATCATAAAAGTAATTTAAAGAATAATTTCAAGATAATCAATCAATCAAGATAAGCCCATTTGTCAAACTATATTTTTTTATACGATTTATTTTATTTGGTTCATGACTTTAATAAACTATTCTACTCTTTTACGTTCTAAAATTTATCACTTTTTTATGGGTGGAGGCAAACCCATGAAAAATGCGGGGGCAAAAGAAAACCCCGCGAAAATTTCATTGTAATATTTTAACATTAAAAACATTTTTGCCCCACATAACCCAATTCCCCTCTCTCCCCAAATATATGTCTCTATAAACGAATATTTAAAAAAAAAAAAATTTTTAAACTTTTTAAATTAACGAAAACCAAAATTATTTTATTATTTTTATAAAATTATAACAGCCAAAGGCTTAAAATAATTACCTAAAGACCTCTCCAATAAAATTGGGGGGGGGGCTAATAATTCTATATTCACCCCCCCCCCTCCCTCCCAAAAAATCCTGGTTTCGCCGATGGGGAGACCCTTATAATTATATCAATTTTTGAGTTAGTTGAATTGAAGAAATTAGTGACGTTGGTTTTTTAAACGGCCCTGCACACAAATTGTGCTTTTACGTTTTGCAGTAATTTTTTAATTAAAAAAACATCCTTTGTTTAAATTGAGGTTGCTTTTTTATTAATATCGTCGATTAAATAAGTTATAAAAAAAAAGGATTTGCCTTTGAAAATTATATTATCGTCTGCCGTCTTATTTCTTAAATATTCCTTTTTAGAATATAAGTAAGTTATTTATGTTACATTTTATATAATATTACAAAGCGAAGAATAAAAAAATGTAATGAGAAAAAGCAAACCTATTTTCATTTTTTTAAATGGTTGCTAACGCCCAAACGATAATTTTACCAATTTGCATGAGGCCATTTGAAATGCATTATTAGCGTTTGCAAAGCAGCTTTTGAAACGCTCAATTTGTGCGCACTATAATGTTTAAAGTTATTTTAATGACTGGATTGGCTCTTTATTTATTTATTCTATAATGTGTTTTTAATTAAACATATATAATATGCAATATTATGAGAAATAAAATATTGTTTTTATATAAATTGGAGTCTGTTCTGATCATGTGGCATGAATTAAAAATTAACCCGCCCATTACTTTAAAAAAAATTTTTAACCTGCCCGCCACCCGCAAATGTTGAAAATGTTTTGGCGAGCGTGGGCGGGCGGGCCCCGCTTATTGCAAACCTCTAGTTTGGATCTCTATTTGGCACATCTCGAGGCTTGCTTCATATTATTTTGGCTAAAATCTTAAACGATTCGCTTTTAAAAATCGACTCAAATAGGGCCTGTTTAATAACACTAAGTGATACAGCCGATCCAGATCAACACCGGATATAACGATGGGCAGATCTCCGAACGATAGTCATCAAATTGAATTGTGTGCGTGTTTAAGCGAAATATTCTCTTTTTTCTATACCATGCATAATTTTCTTTTACTTTGGAGCATAAAGATTCATAGGGATTAAAAATTTATCTAAATCTTGTATCCTTTATCTTAACAAAATATCTTATGATGACAAGGCCGATGGATGACTTTAAATTTAAAAGTGCGCGCATACATATAACAGGCTCGTAGCCAGGTGTTTCAGGGTGGGTGGCCAAGAGTATTTTTTTGTGGTCGATGTTTTTCCGGAGTTTTAGGTTAGAGGCCAACAATTTACTTGGGATGATCTTTATTTTTTGGTCAAAAATAATTTATTTGTAAACTGACACCCAAGGGAAATTCGATATGTTTTATTTTAATGAAACACTTGCACTTTTGAAGCACGGTTAGATCATGCAATCCCAAAATTTTAAGGATTATTAGAACCCTGAAACAGACCCCCTTCTCTTAGTCCCGCCAGACTAGTATATTTTTTATTCGGTCAATCCGACAATTCCACAAAGATTTAAATCCTATCCAAAATCCCATTTCCACCTTTTAAAAAAAATCAGAAGCCCTCCTATTCGTAAAAAAAACAAAGTATTTGATTTAGATATTTCCAGGAAATGCTATAAAGCCTTAGAAGGAAATATAAAAAAAAAATTAGGGCTATTCTCAAGAATAATTATAAGAGCATTTAAGAAACAAAATAATTTTAAATAAAAAAATGGCACTTTTAAAATAAGAGAATTAGTTCCTAAGGATGTGTCCAAAACTTTTTAATAAAAATTCGAAAAGTTTCAAAACTTTAGCAAATTATAAATTTTGATGAAATCTGTAAAAATTTTTATAGAATTATGTATTGATTTGAGCATTTTATTTTTATTTATATATTTAAAATTATATCTATTTATTTTTATTAAAATTTCGAAAGTTTGTAAATTTAATTTTTTGATGTTTTGGACACAGCCTAATAAAAAAAACAACTTAACTTTAACAAAACCTACGTTTTTTAAAAAAAATTTAATGTTCCAAATTCCAATTCATTTCCATATAAAAAATCTTATGATCTTCTACATTTCAAAATTATTGATTCATAAATATCTTTCTTTTTATGTCAAATTATAGATAAAGAATCAATTTCAAAATGCTCAAAGGTATCGAGATGGAAGGAGTCATTGTTAAATTACCCATTTAGAGATCCTAATGGGATCAAATCTTTTTCTACCAAAAGATATTTACTTCATGGTGGATCCATTCAATATCAGCAGACACATACAGGCGAACAAATAAACTCACACTCCAATGAAAAACATTTTTTTAAACCGTTCCACGCGGCACCTAATCAGTTTACGTCTTTTAAATCGTCCAATCAACTCGCTGACAATTATCTTATAGATAGAATCACGAAAACTGAAAGAGATAAGCACACCTTTCATATCCAGGGGCAGAAAAAACGTACCGCTTCCCATTTCTCACAGACCCATATAAGCAAACCTACCAATAAAATTTATACTGGGCAATTAGTGGCCCAGTATTCGATGTAATATATTAAAAATCTATTAAATACTTATTAATTTAAAAATGGATAATTAGTTAACATTGGCGTTCGCTGGAGATGGGCAAGAAACAAAATCGCGTAGAACATTATAAAATATTACTTCTTTAAAGCACACATTTAAATTAAGAAAATTGATTTTTAGAAAGAGTTCTTGTAGCGGGTTCGGAAAATTCTTTTTTGTTTTGGGAATTTTGCCAAAATATTTTTAGTCACCAATTTTTATTCCAAAATGAGTTTAAACCATCCCTGATCCCATATTACCCCGAATTTGAGTTATTGCCTAAAAATTGTCCCCTGTTTAGTTCATACTCCAATACTCTACTTTTTAATTCACCTATATAAGATATTGATTAGCCTACTCTTATAATATCGTTTTTTTATAGTCCTATTTCAAACCGATATTGTCATTTTTGTGATATTATAGATTCCGTTAGAGATGCTTATGTATTTGAAAAAGGAAAACTATGCGACTAAAAAAAAACTACATACATGTTTTATATAAAAATAGGTATGAACAAGGAAAAATTTGCGACTTTTATCCAGAAGGAGAAAGCCACGACTGTTCTCACTCCTCGCTAGAACATTTCCACTGCAAAGGTGATTTCTCATCTTGCAATGAACCTTTTTTGACGAAAGATATCTTCAAGGAGCATTTCAAGTAAAAAAAATGAATAAGATTCTTCATTTCTTTTTTAAATAAATCGAAAATAAAAATGTTTAAGTTAAATTTTTATTTTCCTTCCCCCTCTTTCCATCCTTTGAACAGAACCCACGAACATGAGGACGCCATTTTTGAAAGCTCTTATAAAATATACGACGATTTAACCGTTTGCAATTTTTCCAGCTGTTCTTTCCTCCAATCAAAACACTTCCATTGCGTATGGGTATAAAATAAAATAGTTTAAAAATCGGATCCATTATCAATTTTATTGTGACTTGACTATTTTTGTATTATTATAATCATATTTTATTTGTTCAAAGGCCGGTTGCTTGAAGGCCTTCGCTTTTAATTCCACGCCCGATAGGATAAATCACTATAAGAAGCACCAAATCGATACGTGGTCCATGATTTCGGATGACCCTATACACACTACGTCTAACTTTCAAACTACAAATATATTTCATGCTGGTGGCAAGCGTAAGAGAGGAAGGCCCCCTAAAAATCGCATCCTGGACACTCCCTTACAAAATACTATAGCTTACGCTTTCGAATCAGGCTCTCTATGCCCATTTAAATCGACGAGCAGGAAAGGTGTTGATGATAACAACTTTTCGCAAGATAATAGAGGTAGTAACGTTATTAATACGCGTAGCGAAAGCGATTGGGATTCGGGAGAGGACAATAAAGATAATATCAAGCCTCAATTCAAATACGGGGAGTTCGATCTTAATCTAAGGGAAATTCAACATCATAACACTCCTTCACATATGATCAAAATTGAAAATTTCGATACCCAAAATATTTATAAACCGCACAAAATTAATCTGGCCAAACCTAAAATGACACTACCCACCCCAAAATTGGTGCAAACCCCAAGGAATCGTCCTCATTCGGTTAAGCCTAACTTAGTTGGAAATGATTCTATGGGAAAGTGTAGAGACGTTGTCATAACTCATGACAAGAAGCGAGCGTTAGATCATTCTGCTTCCTTAAGCGGCAACGACGAAGAAAGCGGAGACAAGATTAGTATAACTTCCATTCCTCGTAAACTCAAAGACGATGAAGAACCTAATACCAAAAATAACGGTAATACGAATACGAGTATTCCTACCTCACGTAATGATAAAATTATTTATCACCATTCTCCTTTTCCTCAAAGGATTACTTATAATATGGAGAAAATGGCGGCCAAACGTAAAAACTGCAAAAATCAGGAATACAAGAGTTTGTGCCTGACTTTTATACCCTATAAGAGATTGTCGAAGTTGAAGAAAACCCCGTGAAGTTCATAGTTTGGGTTTTTATTAGTCATTTTTTATTATAGATTTTTTATATTAAAAAAAACAGAGTGCAATTCTATCTATAAGTATAATATATTTTATTAAAATAACAGAATAGAATATTTATTTATAACATATTTTATATAGATTTTTTTTTAAAAATGAATAAAATCAGTTTTACCCATATTTCCAAACTAATATTAATTTATCCGATTATATACAAAAATGATTTTATAAAAAAAAATTGCAATCGTTATGGTATTGTGGCTAAATCAGCTAGTCTTAAAGAATGCGCCTGAAATAATCCGTTAAGACTGGTAACACAAGTCATTCCCAGCGTTCATTAAGTTGAGCCAATCATTAGGCTTAAAAATTCTTTAGATGAGTCGTTTTGCAGTTGGTTCAAACCGATTTTACGATTGCTTATATATTTTTTTCCCCACTATTTATTTTTTATATTAATATAGAAGTTTTATCCAATTTGTTAGAACTTAATTCGGTGCAGTATCGGTTGCAATAGTGTTGTTAAACGGCTCGATTTTTTACTCAATATTTTAGTCAAAAAAATAGCTCCTTAAGCCTCTATTTCATTAATAGAAATCCAAACATTTATGCCATCTATGAGCAAAATCTTTATTTAAAAATCAGCTCAAATCAAGCCGTTAACAACATTAGGTTGCAAAAACCAAACAAATTTAATCGATATTTGGTTTAACTTTTTTCTAATATTTTTATCAACGAAGAAAAAATGAATTATTTCAGAAATGATGGTAATTTTTATTTCTTTTTACATATTTGTTCGTGAAAAAAATATTATTTAATTTTAATGAAAAAATAATAATATCCTTGAAGCATTTTTTTTTAAAAAAAATTATATTTAAATCTCATAAATATTTTGTCAAGTGATATATTAAAAAAAAATATGAATACGAATGGTATTTTGAATCGGAGCCAAAGGCGATTTGTTTGGTTATTTAACATTACTCATTTTACATCAGTAAATACTTCTATAAGATGACCGCTCAAGGAATTCATTTTATTGATATATGGTTATATGAAAAGTTTCTTTTGCTGACATAGAATGTCGTAAAATCATTTTTATTAAACTCTGATATATTAATGTTATTCGTTATTCCTAAAACAATAATTATTTATAAAATTAATCACATGCTTATTTTTAATAATATAGATTAGACTTTATTTAATATACAATTATTGACAATATTTTTGGTTAAATTGTAAAAATTCATAAATATAAAATTTTAAATAATAAATTCTTATATAAATAATATTCACATTCACTTTCAAACTAACTACAAAAAAAAATATACCCTGTAAAAGAGGGTAACATTTCTGGGAAAAAAATGAAAATTTTTTTAAAAATTTACCTTATTCCATAATTTATATGAAAAAATCTATCAAAATTGTGATAAAAAAAACTTTATATGTTATAAAACATTTTGATTTGAATTAGGTAAATTTTACTATAATTTTTTACAGAAAAATTAATCATTAAAGAAAAGAAGAATAGAAAGTTTTATTAAAAAATGGTACAATCAGGGGGAATAAATCTTGAATAAGTAAGTATAGTAATAAATAAAAAATATGTTGTTAATAACGTTAATAAGTAGCACTCGGTTTACGTACAATTGTTAAAAAAAAATTTAGTTTTTAAAATTCAGTGTCACATTTGCAATAATTCCACGCATTAAGTTCTTCATTCATTCATTCTTGACTTTAGGTATATTTAATCTTGGTCTGTCCACGTATATAAGCCCATTGGAATAAATGAAGAATAAGGATAGCATACAGATCATGATCCAAAAGGAGTAATATATCATTTGGTCGGCGTAATTTGCTAACATAATTTTTTTTTTATAAAAAATGAATTTATGGCGAAATTTATAAATGAAAAAAAAACCTATTTGCCTCTGACTAACCATTATTATCAATCTCTTAGATTTGGGCAAGGAAGAATTAACTCGGTGGAAAATGATTTATATTAATTTGGGAACAGTATAGGAGAAAAAAGGGAAGGCTTTAGGGAGCATTGTATTGATCCATTTTTAGCCGGAGAACCTAGTTTTTATGCGAAAATAATTATCTCAGCATCGAGATTTTTTTTTAGAATATAGCGCAAATTAACTTGTTCCGCAATGCCTAGCGAATTTAATTAGGGCCTATTTTTACCCATTATCCAACTATTAGGGAGATCAAGTTCAAGTTAAAAAAAATAACATAATTCCATTTTGGGAAACATGTTCCTCCCCTCTTCCATGTGACTAAAATTCATTAAAATTTTCTAAATTTGCTCAGGGTGAAAAAGAGTACTCTAATTTAAAGTTAAATCGGTACAATAAATATTATAATAATCTTTTAGCGAACCGGAAGGTAAAAGGAATGTGAAAATAACCATGGTGAAGGATACGATGAATATGACGGGCAGACCGAGGTATTTCCAATCTTTATCGGTTGTTTTGAATGGGCTTATGTAAGGGAACTCGTTAGAATTATCTACCACGAAATTTCCCAGCAACAAGTGAGTGGCGTCCTGTGTTTTTTTTAAAGTTTTGTTAAAATTTTGCCATAAAAATATAATCTATATGTCTTGATGAGTAATATTTATAATACCTCTAAATATAAATAAGATTCTTTTTAAAGGAAAAACTAGGGTGATTTGTTGATTAACAAAGAATTACACAAATTGATTGGTGTCAATGCTAAAAGATACCAAAAAAAATTGTTTTGCCTTAAAAAATATCATAGGATATAAAAGATAAAATTTTGACCTATTGTCTGATTGTGCATTTATCTTAAAAAGCATTTTAATTATTACCCTTTAATTAGATCCCCTAGTTTGATATGATGAGTTTTAAATTAAACGTGATCTTGTATATAACAATATCTCTTTAAAAAGAATAAAACAATATATTTAACTTGAGAAAATCCGTCAACGAAATTATTTTTGTAATAGCGTATGGCTGAATTAAGACCATCTCGTGCCAACCCTAACTTAGTTCTTTCACCCGTTCTTGTTTATTTGAAATAAAAAAATCATTATAATATATGCGATTTTTTAACTTAAAAATGTTTAGTAATTATCCATTTTTTTAAAAAAATGGCTAAATGAAGGAACACATGATAACTATTACAATTTTCATAAGGCATAATGTGGTAAGAGAATTAAACTTTAAAGATAGCTAGTCTCTCAGTTTAACCCAAGGTTGTGAACCCAATTAGGGTTCAGAAATTCGAAACTCGATTTAGCAGAAATTTCGAAAGGAACTTAATCGAAACCAATATTCTGAAAGAGGTTCGAGCCCTGGGTTCATATTTTGATGTGTCGCCCATATATTGATATCTGGTCTCAAAATTTCTAAATCTCTCGCAACCCTGGCTTAACCGTGGCTAAAAAAAAATTTTTTACCTAGTGAAATCCGTTTTTAAAGCCCCGGAGCCAGCATATTGCCATGAGCAGATATTGGCGTTTTCGGTCCATTCTTAAATAAGATAATAAATAAATATTCTTTTTAAGATCAGTGTCTTTATATGTATTTTTCATAAGCTAGTGCTAAATCCCGAATGGTCTGAATATAGTAGTACCAAAATGTTAAAAAAATAGTGGTAATATAGTTTAATTTGGAAGAAATCTCTTTTAATAACGTTTTTATACAATACACATCATGTAGCTATTCATAGTTTTAAAAAATAGTAAACTTCTATAGTTATGCATTTCCTGACAAATAAAACCGGAAGTTAAAACCCCGAAGATTATTAAGTCAGGCTCTGTTGGATGATTATCCAGATAGGATCAATGTTTTAATCTGGGCTCTTAATGTCTAATTATACGACGGGGAAATGTGAATCAAATTTGGCAGACGCATAACTCTAATAAATATTTTGATCAGAGATCTGAAGGCCCGGCCCTAAGCCCAACCCGGGTACATGGGCCAGGCCGTATTTTCATTTTTTTAAATATAGCTATAAAAATTAAAAATAAATTCAATATATTTTAAAAATATCTGGGCTGGGCCGTGCAAATAATACCTCTGCAGGTCTCTGATTGTGAAAAATAATTAAATTGAATGGTTATCATTACAAATTACCCCAAATACAATCATGAATAACCTATAAAAATATTTTAAGAATCCACATGTTGTTTTTCTCTTTTTATTATTATTATATAATTGCATATCATGCTTCAGACATTTTTTTTCTTCTTTCATAGAAAATAAATTTTTTTTAAAAAAATATTCAAATTATGTGGATTTATTTATTAGGAGAATAATAGGCACACGTTTTTGTGTATTTTTTTAAAATTTATACAATATAAATTGTTGAAATTCAGTATAGGCACTCTATACATTCTGGAATAAGATTCTGCCATTTCTGAGCGCCCTACTTGGGTAAGCTAACACAGCCATATAGCAATATACAAAAAAATATCTAAAATTTGGTAACTGATAATTAATAATGGTTAAGAAGTTAGGATATCATGGTTCAAATAGGTTCAGACCTTTTTAGAAGGTCGACTCAAGTTCGGGCAGCAAAATTTTAACGGTTCAAGTTCGATTCTCAAATAATAACAGTTAATACGGGTTTAACGGTTAAGATTGGATCGACATATATTCGAAAATTATAATCAAAATATGATCGTCAATGTTAAAAAAAAGGCGAATTTCAAACCAGTCAGGATTTCGCTCTAACTTTTTCCTTTCGACTTGATTGGCGTGTCAGCTGCGATTTTCTTTATCAATTTTATACGACATAAATTAAACTCCAAAGTAAAAAAAAACTTATCAATGTTTAATTATCCCCCTTCCCCATTAATAATGTCATAAATTTGAAATTATGAAGTAGGGAAGAAAAAGAAAAATCACGATATTATTTAATTATTAAACCATTTTGAAACAAAGTATTGAGATCTGTGTGCTGAGTTATATCGCTATTTTCTCCAATGATTCCCAAAAGCTTTCGTCGAAAAATACAAAATAAATTAAAAAAATTCATTTATTAGATTATAGTAGCCATTTAAAATATTTTGGCCTTACAAATTACCCTCGAGCCTCTATCTCTTATCAAATGGAGTTATATGAATGAACCGAGTGAAACTTGGAAGGGTAACGGTTGCCTAAAACACTCATTAATCTTATTGACAATTTCTTTAAAGTAAAAAAAAAATATGCAAAATAATAATTTAATGAAAACCTGTAAAAAATTTTAAAAATATAAGAACACACTCAAAACAGCTAGCAATGAACACTTAGAATAGTTTTCTGAGTGTAATATACTATTACTTTCAATTGTTTATCCAAAACTCTTCTACCCAAAAGGCTTTGAACAACATTTGTTCTATCTAAGCAATCAGCGCAATTCGTCCTGAATACACCATTTTGTAGTTTTAGAATATTTTTGGAAGGAATGTGAGCGAAATATCTGAATTTTATGGATTAAAATAATAATTTTATGTAAATTCATATCGAATTATTTTAAAAATCGACAAAAATATGGTTACTGTAAACAGAAACATGAAGAAAAAAATAGAAACAAGAAAAGAAAAAAGTTAAAAAAGCGGAGAGGAAGGGTTGCTGTAAAAATTTGTATAAGATGAGTGTTCTTAATTAATTACAGAGTTCATTTAGGATGATGTATGTAGTAAATCTGGTTTGGAATAGATAATATTAGAATTTGGGAGAGCTATTAGTTTTTTTTAGAATTGTGGAATATATGGTTCCCCTTGCAGAATTTATTTTATATAAAGAATTTTAAACCAAAGTCTTTCTTTTTATTTCATATAAATTTATATAAAAACTTTTATAATTATAATAATAATTCTTTTTCTTCTTTTTTACAATTTTTCATTAAACCCATAATAACAAAAGAACTTTAATATCAATACAAGTACTCGCTAACATAAATCACCATAAAACATCTCTCGCGAAAACTAACATATATTATATATATTTATTTAACACTCATATAATCCATGATTAAAACAATATATTTAATTTATTTCTTCGGGGTAAAACCAAAGCATTTTAAAATTTAATCAACATAATTAATCGAGAGGCATTTAAATGGGAAAGATTAAACATTCGTCAAAAAAACTTATAAGGGGAAAAAATAACGAATAAAATATACATTATCTGAGGGAGGGGTAGATTGATAATAAATGAAAGAAAAGAAATATAAAAAATAACCCAATAGCATCTTGTTCCTCGTCGATGGACTCCATTAACTTATCCAGCCTATGGTACTGCATGTGCGCACATTCTCGGTGAAAATCGAATTGAAAATACCTAGAATTATTTTTAAGGTTATTAATATAATTTTGTTGACAACATAGGATCCTGTAAACATAAAATTGGGTTCCTTTTATAAGGAAAATATTTAAAAAAACGCAATAGTAAATATAGGTTTTGGGGCAATCATAAAAAAAATCATTTTTCCAAAATTGATTTGTTTGGGGGAAAAACCCAACCCCTCTCCCATACTTCTCGGGAATCTAATTATACCCTCGAATTCAGAAAGATCTTAGGAATCTAACCATATAGTTTTTAATTAATGAAACCCTTAGTAAAGAATCCAAAAGTATAAAAAATTCGCGATTAAAAGAAAACACGGAAAGCCATATATAGTGTTGTGTTGTTAATTGGTTGGTTGTGTAGAGCCCAGACCCGGGGTTCCGACCCGGCGCAAAAACCCATTATTTTTAAAAAAATAATAAAGAATTTTATTTAAAGAATATTATTATTTTATAAAAACTAAATCTATATTATATATATCAATTTTGTGTAAATTTGTGAAATCATTATTTAGGCTCTGCATACATAGGAGAACACAAATCATGTTAAAATTTTGTTCTACCATTAGCGGAAATGTGCTATAAATGGCCATGTTGAGCTGGCCACCACCCTTTAACTTTTTATCTATTGGACCGATTTCTCTCAAAATTGGTCAAAATGTGTATATGTTAATAATACTAATTAAATTAGTGTATAATTAATTTTTATATACCTAAAAATTGAAGAAATATATAAGATTGGTCTTTTGCAAGTATTTCATATTTATAATATAATTCTTAAATAATATGTTATAGCCAGTAAATACATTTCAGCGAAACTTTTATCGCGGAACACTTTTTCGCGAATGGATTTTATGGCGAAACTTTTATCGCGAATCCATAATAGCAAATACTATTCCGCGAATACAATATAGCGAAACATATATAGCGAAACCTTTAAAGCGAATACATTACCGCGAATACAATATCGCGTAACAACTATCGAGAAGATATTATAGCGATAATTGCTAATAATGACTAATTTATTTCGAAACATTTTTTTATAATTATATTAATTGAATAATATTTTTTAAAAAAATAGGATTGTGACGATTTTGCACTCAATTTTGAATTATCTCATATGATATTTATGCTTATGGGCCATTCAATGTCAAATCGATCAAAAAAGGCCCATTTTCGACCGACCCCTTTTAAAATTGTTAAAAATTTCTGGAATTATTTAGAAGGGGAAATAAAAGAGAAAGCCGTTTATTTTAGCTCGCTAGCACACCTGGTTCTTGAGATATAGGGGCTTATAGGTACAAAAAAGAGCCAATTTGGAATCTGTAAAATTTTTAAAATGCTTATATCTCAAGAACTATTTATAGTAAAATATAATATAATATATCATATTGTAGGTAAATAAAATCTCTAAAGGACTATCAAAATAAAATAAAAATTGAAGCCAATTTGAGTCTTAAACTTCCGGTTTACCTATAATGCTTTACCTGTATTTTTAAGCAAAAAAGGGAGTTTGTTTTCGAAATTTTTTTATTGCTTTTTATTTAGACACCTTTTATAAATATATGTATGATGTCAAAACCTTGGCGACGCTGACTCTTCTAAAATATACATTTTTATCAAAAATCGTAAATAAAAAAAATAGATGGCGCTAATGTTTAAAAAAATATTATTTCTAAAAATGAAAATATTTATAAATTTATAAGAAATGCGATAAAATTTTCCAGTTCTGCTCCCCCCCCCACCATCCTTAAATTTTTTTACATATTTTAGATCTCTGCTTTACTACTATAACAGCGAATGACTTTTTGGAACGATATTGTATAACAGCTGCATTAAAAAAGAATTTATATTAGACATATTATCGATTATATTTTACGATAATAATATTTTAAAAAATTAAAAGTTTAAAACAATCTCTCTTTCTGTTTAATATAATTTTTTTTCCGATCAGATTAATTTTAAACAAGCCATATTCTAGGTTCAAATTAAATAAAATTTTATTCTATATAAAAGATGGATATACCAAATATTAAAATATCAAGATGTTGTAACCCATTTAATTTACAAAAACATGCATATTATCGCAAAAATCTAAGAAAGATTCAACCTTGGATGACCAAAAAAAATTTACCAATCAATTTAAATATGCTAATATGCTCTTCATGCCGACAAAAATTAGCAAAGCTTCCTTATAATGACAATGATATTGATTCTCCTCCTCATATAGTTAATCAAGAGGCAATTGAAAACATTAATATATCCCTACAATCAATTGGGGAATCTCCCATTAAAATAAAACGCTTACGTGAAAAGAAATATCCAAAGAAAAAAATATCTAGCGTGAAAAAAGTTTTAGCGACTAAAATTATACCATTATCTTCATCAAATGATGAAAAATTCGATGAAATTCTCGATACCTTAAAAATCAATTTCCCACAGCTTTCGATAACAAACAAATATAGATTATTAACATTATTACCATCAAATTGGACAGTAAGAAGAATTATAGAAGAATTCAATATTTCATATCATATGGCGATAAAATCTAAAAATTTAATAAAAGAAAAGGGGTTTTTTTCAACACCTAATCCTAAACCCGGCAAAACAATAGATGCCGCCACCGTTGATATTGTCAAATCTTTTTATAACAATGATCAATATAGTAGATCGATGCCTGGGAAAAGGGATTTTGTAACCATAATAAAGAACAGTGAAAAGATTCAAGTCCAAAAAAGATTAATTTTAATTAATTTACGAGAGCTATATCTTAAATTTAAAGATATTCATTCAAATATTAAAATTGGATTCTCTAAATTTTGTGATCTTCGTCCCGAGAATTGTGTATTTGTTGGCAGTAGTGGTACCCATTCAATATGTGTTTGCTCCATTCATCAAAACACAAAATTAATGCTGTTGAGTTTGCCCAAAATTACTTTAAAAGAAGATTTAATTAAGATTACATATAAGGATATATTACCAAAAATAATTTGTAATCCAGCATTACCAAAATGTTTTTTTGGTGATTGTGCTCAATGCCCTGGATCTTCTTATTTAAAGGCCATGATAAGTGAAATATTATATTCAATTGATATCGAATATATTACCTACAAGCAATGGGTAACAACAGATCGTACAGATCTTTTAACTATCACTTCATCAACCTTTAATTTTTTAGAAACGCTTTTCGAAAAGCTAAATATTTTACTATTACACTCATTCATAACAAAGCAGCAAACAATATTCATGAATTCTCTTAAAATTAATTTAAAGGAAGGAGAATATATCGTGCAGGCAGATTTTGCTGAAAATTATGCCTTTGTGGTTCAAGATGAAGTACAGGGGTTTCACTGGAATAAATCTCAAGTTACCATTCATCCTTTTGTCATTTATTACAAGTCACTTAATAATTTAAATCATTTAAGTTTCGTAATAATATCTGAATCTCTCGTTCATAATACAATTGCGGTTCATATATTCCAAAAATATTTAGTTCAATACTTAACAAAGAAATTTCAATGCCTGCCAAAAAAATTCTTCTATTTTTCAGATGGAGCAGCAGCTCAATATAAAAATCGGAAAAATTTAATCAATCTTTGCCACCATGAATATGATTTCGAGATAAAAGCTGAGTGGCATTTCTGGGCTACATCTCATGGCAAATCAGCTTGTGACGGGGTCGGAGGTACCGTCAAGCGTTTAGTGGCTAGAGCAAGTTTACAAAGACCTACTTCAGAACAAATAACTTCTCCTAAAGAGTTTTTTGCCTATTTTAAGGAAAATATAAAAGGTATATGATTTATAATTTATTAATATATATATTATAATTTTTTTATTAAGGAATAGAGTTCTCCTATATTATGGAAGATGAATATGAGAAAGAACAAATAATTTTAAAAGAGAGATTCGACAAAGCCCGTACTATACCAGGGACGCAAAAATTTCATGCTTTTTATCCAATTTCTCAGGATAAAATTGAAACAAAATTTTATTCTAATTCAACAGAATCGCAAATATTAAATATAACATTTCACAAATTTTAAATTATGGAATGAATATGATTGTCTATCTCTATTTCTATATTTCTATATTATTAATATGAATGAATAATAAAAAAATTATACAAAAGATTTTATTATTGGAAATATATTACATTATTAAGTGTCTAATGGGCATTTACCCACACTGCCCCTCAATTTATTTAGTATATTTAATAGAAATTTAAAATATTTTTAGTATAAAAAGTGAAAATATCCGTTTATTGATAAGTTTGCAGCAAAATTTTAACCAAAATCCGTAATTTCATAAAGCGCCATCTATTATTTTTTTAAATTTTTGGAGTCGATAGCGTCGCCAAAGTTTTGACATCGTATATATATTTATAAAAGGTGTCTAAATAAAAAGCAATAAAAAAATTTCGAAAACAAACTCCCTTTTTTGCTTAAAAATACAGGTAAAGCATTATAGATAAACCGGAAGTTAAAGATTCAAATTGGCGCCAATTTTTATTATTTTTTGATAGCCTTTTAGAGATTATTTTTACCTACAATATGATATATTATATATCTTTTTACTATAAATAGTTCTTGAGATATAAGCTTTTTAAAAATTTTACAGATTCCAAAGTGGCTCTTTTTTGTACCTATGAGCCCCTATATCTCGAGAACCATGTGTGCTAGAGAGCTAAAATAAACGGCTTTCTCATTTATTTACCCTTCTAAATAATTCCAGAAATTTTTAACAATTTTAAAAGGGGTCGGTCGAATCGTGATCGATTTGACGTGGAATGGCCCTTATATAGAACTCTTATGCTGAAAGATAGGCCTTCCCCCTTATCCAAAAAAAAGTGTAAGATATGTAAGAGTAAATAAATAAACACTTAACTCATTTTGCCCCGGTTTCACATGTATTTTAATTTCATTTTATTTGAAAATAATGAGTAAAATTGCTTACAAATTGAGTAGAAGCGTTTAGCGGTGTTTTCATAAAAACACT